CTTCTCCCGTTTTCCCAACATTTCCCTTCATTACTCTGCTCCTATTGATTGTAGCGTGATGAAAAGTATACTATAACCTGCCCAGGAGTATGAAGAATAATTGTACCAAGTTTCGTTAAAATCCGTCGAGTAGTTTTTGTTTCTATAAGGAACATACACACAGACAGACAGACAGACAGACAAAAAATTTACTGATTGCATTTTTGGCATCAGTATCGATCAATAATCACCCCCTGATAGTTATTTTAAAAATATATTTCATGTACAGAATTGACATCTCTACAGATTAATTATAAGTATAGATAAGGTAGTTAGTCGTGTTTCCTTTCTTTTTTTTTACACTTTTGTAGGTAGACTAAACTCAATCACTACGTAAACGTAAAAAAACATTAGATTTTTGTTGCTTTTTGTATGACATTGACAGCTTTGCTGCAGCAGAACTGGGTTGCGTTCCAAGCTCTGTTCCAGGCCACAATTTTACACTCCGTAGTTACAATTGACATAAATGCTTTGTAAATTTATGAAAGATATGTCAAATTTGTCATTTGTTGCACACTTTGAGTGGGTTGGTACGTAACCTAGACCATAGACTAGAAACTTTTATTGTTATAAATTTGTTTAAAACAAAGGCATAAGATGTTGAATTCATACAGGCTTGTCTGTCTTTTTAAGCTATTGTATAGCTTTTATCGCGGGCTTACAACGCGGGGACCGAATCAAAAAATTCTGTAACGAAAAAACCTTGCGATAGTGCATGTACTTGTGGAAGTTTTTTGGTGCCGGGCAATGCTGTTGTTTACTGTGCCCAATAAAATATAATAAGGCCTGTCTCGCCATCCCGGAAAAGAAAGTCGAGTGTCAGCAAGGACTGGATATGCCCGAACTGCAAGAAGAGCACACGCAGGGGTGACAACACGCGTACGCCTGTAAATGGTATCAGCGAATCTTCCGAGCCCGAAAAACCGGTTGCTGTACGGGAACCTATCGACCTGGCCAGTGGCTCTCCAAAGGAAGATGAGGTCCAGGGTAAGGCCAAGGAGAACGCCGCCAGAAATAATCACACCAGTGTTATAAAAAGTATGCTGGCCGACTGCATGAAGGAGATGGTAAAAAATGTTTTCTTATCTGTCACCACGCTCAAAAAGCCTAACATGAATTAATATCAAAGAAAAAAAAATAATTTTAATTGCATAAATTGATAAAAAATGCTATGCAATAGCTTTACCGCGGCAATCCCCGAGTGCCACACGTATTTTTTTTTATTTTATTTATTTATTGTTATTATTACTTTTGTAACGTTTGAATTTAGAATGTAACGTTTTTTAATCTTAAAACTTTTTTCTTTTAATATACGTATATAAAATTTCATGCAATGTCAAATTCCCAAAAATACTTTGTTGAGTCTGTCAATTCTGAAATTGCTTATTAATATTTATATTACAAATTTTATTAATTGCATTATCTGCTTTGTATTCGCTAGATATTATTAGCTTTTAGCTTTGAGCTTTTTTTTTGTTCTGCTTAACTTAGTTTGTGTTTAACATTGACTGCCTATGGATAATTGAAATGTATGCCAATTAAGTAGTATATTCTTTGTTGTTGTTTTATTCATCTATGTACAATGAATATTTCTATTAATTCTGATATATTTCATTCTTGCTCCTCTCAATCCAGTCTTGAGGAAAGCCTTCATAGTGATGAAGTGATGAGTCTGCGTCCCTTGATGAACTTCTGCATGATACTTTTAGTGATTTACCAAAACATTTGAACGTAATCCACATAAACGCGCAAAGAATCCCGGCACATTATGCTGAATTATATACTTATTTAGTCCATAATAATATTCATGCGATTTTAGTTTCTGAGACTTGGCTACATCCTTCTGTTCCTTCTTCTTCTTACTCGCTTCCAGGTTATCATTTGATTCGTAACGACCGTGGTAGCTCTTCTTATGGAGGGGTAGCAATTTATCTCCGCTCACATCTCTCTTTCACTGTATTAAGTCAATCATCTCAACCTCCTCCGCAGGATACTGCTGAACATCTCTTCATTGAGGTCAACTTAGTTCACAATAAGGTTCTTCTAGGTGTTTTATACAGCCCATCTTCTAAAATTGATTATTTCCATTCCTTCGAGCTTCTCCTTGAAGATTTTTCTCATAATTATACTCATTCAATTATAATGGGCGACTTCAACACCTGTTTGATAAAAAAATATTCCCGATGCAAAGAGTTACGTTCGGTAATGAATTCTTGTAATATGCATATTCTTCCTCTCTCTGCGACGCATAAATTTCCAAACTGCACCCCTTCTCTGCTAGACCTTATAATGGTATCATCTCCCGACCATGTTGTAAAACATGGTCAATTACCTGCTTATCAGTTTTTTTTATCACGATTTAATTTATTTGTCGTATCGAATCCGTCCCCCCAAACGTAAGGCGTCAATCTAACTATTGCGTAATTTCAGTGCAATGGATATCGATATTCTGCGAGAAGATGCTCGTAAAGTTAATTGGTCGGCAATTGATGATCTCAATACCATTGACGAACAAATCGAGCTATTTAATTTCTTACTCATACGTCTAATTTAATCTCATACGCTCCCATGCGGCCTGTACGCGTCAAGCATGTTCCTGCTCCTTGGCTTACGGAGGACATACGCACAATAATTGAAAAAAAGACCCGCGCAAAAACTACATTTAAAAAGAATCCAACGGATGCCAATCGTGCCAGATATAAGGAAGTAAGGAATCGCTGCAATACATTGATCAGGAATAAACAAAGACGCCACATTTATACGTCAGAAAATGGCGACACCGCCAAAGTTTGGCGCTTTCTCAATAAGCTTGGTATTGGCAAATCTAAACGCAACTCTACCTCTGCTTCAAATAGTAATATCAATGCTTTAAATGCTAACTTTTCCTTATCTACTTCCACGGGTGGAATAATCAAAAAACATACTTTGAATACGCTTTCTTCTTCGCCAATACCAATTCACTCCTTTTTTCATAAAACAATTTACCGAGTGTGACATTGAGAAGAATATCATTGCTGTATCGTCCAATGCCATCGGTAGCGATTGCATTAGTCGTAATATGATCATTCCTCTACTAGATATCCTCACTCCTGTAATTACGAAAACCCTTAATAAATCCATATCGTCATATATCCTTTACCTAAGAAATCCAAACCTGAGTCCTTTTCTGATTATCGTCCTATTTCAATATTGCCTTTCCTTTCCAAAGTCCTCGAAAAATTAGACCATCAACAGTTAAGTACATTCCTTTCCATGAACAATCTTTTAAATCCACTTCAATCCGGTTTCCGTCCCGGTCATAGTACGACTACTGCACTTGTCAAGATCGCAGATGATATACGTATGGGTATGGAAAATCGGCAGCTCACTGTATTAACGCTGTTAGAATTTAGTAACGCATTTAATATGGTTGATTTTGATATCTTATTGGCTATGTTGGTTTCTCTCAATGTATCTCCACCAGTAATTGATTGGTTTCATAGTTACCTGCATGGGCGGCGGCAGCGCATATGCGTGGATGGATATTTTTCATCATGGTGTGAACAGCCGGCGTTCCGCATGGTGGTGTTTTGTCTCCTCTCCTTTTCTCTATTTTCATAAATTCAATAACTCTTCCTCTCTCTTGTATGTATGCAGACGATCTCCAATTATATACTCAAACTTCTATAGAGGAACTACGTACAGCCATCGCAGTTACCAACAACGATCTGGACCTCGTATCTGACTGGAGTCGGCGGCATGGTCTGTTGGTTAACCCGCGCAAAACGCAAGCTATAATTATCGGAAGCCATTGGTATAATGCTAGAATCAACAAAAGCGCTCTGCCACCGATTTTGTTAAACGGCATCCACATACCACTTGTTTGACAGTAACTTGTCTCCTACTAACTTCACCAACATGGTCGTCACCATGTTGGTGAAGTTAGTAGGAGAGTTTTTGGTGCGTATGGCTCGCTGAAACGCCTGAAAAACCTGTTGCCGACCAAGACTAAAATTTCTCTTGCACAGTCCCTTCTTCTCCCATTACTTGACTATGCCGATGCGTATTACCCTGACCTTAGTGTTGTTCTTCTTAATAAACTCGAGCCTCTGCAGAATTTATGTATTAGATTCATTTTCGGTCTGCGTAAGTACGACCATATCTCTCATTATCGTTCCCAACTTCAATCCATCCATACCCATTTCTCGTAGAAGAGACTGTCACATCCTATCACTCCTTTATTCTATCCTCTTTCATCCACACACTCCTCTCTATCTTAAGGAGCGTTTCACTTTTCACTCATTTAATCCTTTTCGTGACCTTCGGTCTTCTCATAACCTATCCTTAGTTATCCCACCCCACTCCACTGATTTCGTAGCCAAGTCATTCTATGTAAGAGCTGTTAAATTGTGGAACTCTTTACCTTTAGATATTAAACGTGCACGGACGAGGGACTCCTTTGCTATTAAAATTAAGGATTATTTCCTCAAGCTGGACTCTGACTGATCTTTTAATATGTTAATTACTTTGTATTGTATTTTATAGCTTTCATATACTTTCTACATTTTATTTTCCTATATTTACGTTTATTTATTTATTTTTACAATGCACAGCCCGCTGTTTCTACTATTCTTATGGTATCGTTTCATTTAGCCAAAGGTTGCCTGGTAGAGAATCAACCTTAGCAATAAGGCCGCCTTTTGTGATTGCGTTCCTGTTTTATGTTTATTGTTTTTTTTGTAATAGTGCAATAAAGAGTATTCATTCATTCATTCAAAGAGGAGTTTCCCATTTCTCAGTATGTTTTTTAATCTTTTCCCGCATATCTCCTACATCTGAGTACCGATATTAATGATTATTTTTGTTTTAATGAGTTAATGTGAGTTTTATTGAATAGGTTCATTTACAAAGTGAAAAACACATATTTTACAAAAGTAAAAACCGACTTCTATATAGCATTTCAGTTGGTACTGATCACTTACCTGTTTTGACTAGTTTGAAAGTGACTTGCTGCTGATTCTTGAGCTGTTCGTTATGGCTCGGGTGATTGAGCTCACGTAGAGCCATCTCCAGCGATGGTTGCTGCATGCTGCGAGCGCGAGGCGGCGACGGCCCCTTCGAATGACTCCACTTCCGGAAGAAACTGACTTTCTTCGATTTCGAATTTGCCCCTGCCAGATGTAAATACACACGACGTCTTAATAATCATTCATAAGGAAATTGAAATGTTCATTTTTTCGCATTTTGTTATTCTAAGATTAGTTACCGAAACCAAAACCACAAACATTAGTTCCAAAAATGCATTCCTGATAGTAAAGGCAGTATTAATATGAGTTGGTTTTATCACACACTTGTTAGATTAACCGTAAATCCACGCTCATTCAGAACCTTCAGACTGGTGCGGCGTTGGCGTCGAATGCGAAGAGGAACGACCTGAAGTATTGGGTGAAGCACTCGTCGGTTCGGAGTAAGGTCGTGGAGGGAGGAGACTAAGTGAGGATGTCGCGGGAGAAGGAAAGTGCGCAGCCGAAACATCAGACCTGCGATCTGGCTCAGGAGTCGTCACACGAATTTTAGCCGTGAACTGGGGTGAGTTAGCCACTTCGAAGAGGGCATCGAAATCTCTGTCGAAAATGTTTTTTCTCGAGAAAGCCGGTGTGGGCAGCGGTGCAGGTAATTCGAACTCATCAGGAGCGGGAGTTCTAACTATCTTTCCGAATTCGTTATCCTCCTGACGGACGAGTTTCTTGAAAAGTTTCGCCTTGGTTTTTTGTTTGGCGGGTCGCTCGAGCGACGGCGTCGGCGACGCCGGCGCGCGCTCCGGAGGCTCGGGGGGCGCCGTTTTGAGGGAAAACCAACTGCGGGAGGAGGTGGGGAGCGGGAGCGGGGGTGGGGGTGATTGCGCTACTGACGGCGGGGGGAGCAACGGCCCGAAGAGGACGTCGAGCGTAGGCCGCTGCCGGGGCCGGGGCAGCGAATGCGATGTGTATGTCAGGGAAACTACTTCATCCGCAGGATATATTACGTACATCCCTGGCGAGACCGCATCGCGCCGGCCCCTCGCGCCCTCCGAAGAGGTTCACGCGCGTCCTTTGAGCTTCCTACTACTATCTCGAGGTTTAACGGTCTCCTTTTACAAGATCTTTGAAATCAAAGACAACTCACTTTGCCAAGGGATTATGTAAGAATAATGGAATGTAGTATTATGTAGCGTCACTTTTGTGCAAGAGTCGACGATCGATGAAGGAATGTTTTTTATGTAATGGATTTTGAGCTTCGTTTGGGAGGTAGGAAGGATATTTCTTCTTCTAGTATCGGCAACAAGTTTGAATACACCTCCATCCTATACGACAAAAAATAAAAAATAAATGTTGTGGTACCGATAAGAACTTGGTGCAGCACACAAAATTCTTACAGTACTTAATTTTCGTATGTTTTAAGTAACTGCACAAGAACATTCAATTCATAGAATAAGTACCTGTAATGTAAGCACAAGAAGAACAAAATATTTATGCATGGTACGTGCTCACACTTTCTTATACTTTGTTTAGGTTTCATATAAAGTACAAAGCAGATTAAAACAATGTACAAGAAATTATTCGTTCAAATATTATTATAAGAAACAAGAGAGTTATTTAATATTCAATAATTTCTTAGACATTAAAAGGGAGTTATATAAAATAAATGTTTCTGAAGAAAATTTTACTAGAAAAAAATCTCGTGCCCTCAGCTTTCCTGGCGGATGCACTGACCAATTATGCTACTGCGGCCTTAATGGCCGTGTCGAATTTCTTCTAGTATTTCTAAGACTGCAAGGCAGCGCCATCTCTTTGCAACGTAAGTAATCCACAATCCAAAACGAATACCTTTACAAGTATGAAACATTTTGAAGAAGAAATAGCAATTGTGCTTACATTTTTATTTTTAAGCATTTAAGTGCTAGATGTTGTAAATCGAAAGAAAATTTTACTAGAAAAAAAATCCATGCGGCCAGGTAGCAAACGGACTCGAATCCGCTATCCAGGCGGATGCAAATATAGACTGACTGTGTGTAACCTACAAGAGACTGTAATGTCACAAGATAAACGATAAAATAAAATAAAAGTACATCGGCTTTTGTAAATTTTGTACAGAAGTTTAAGTTTATCGCTTTTTATAAAATCTTATGTGTATCAAATATAAGTAAGTAATTTCACAATTTTTTGTTAAAATTTAAATTCTAACTTTTCATTATTGTTCAAACGAAAAGAAAAAATGCCACTTGTCTAACCCCAGAACTTATTATGAAAAGCCTGTTTTTTAATTCGACTTAATAATATTTCAAAAGATTTTATTCGCAAAAACGAACGGAATTGAACGTAATTTGGTACGCATATGGTTTATGACCTGGAATGAGACCAGGATACTTTAAATCCCGGGAAAATGTAAATGTAATCGCGGTCGGCTAAATAATAATCATCACTGAAATTTTTAATTTGGGTTTTGGTAAACAATTCCGAGGCTTAACAAAGCTTTACAGAGGGTCTCTAGAGCACCTCTTGGGCGCAGGCCGTCATTGCCTAGCTACTTGACCTGCCCTCATCATCTATAGAAATCTCAGCATCAGCCCGATGGCTCATGTTTTAAGTGTTGTAAAAATAAATTATATCAATAACTTTTCTCTTAAGAAAATATAACTAGAAAAAAACCCAATCGGTCCAGGTTTTGAACGAGAAACCTGGAACGAGTAGTTTTTTTTTTCTAGTAATATTTTCTTTGGATTTAAACATTATTATTTTCTGTTCTTATTCTCATCTAAAATTAATATCATAAAGACGAAATATTTGTGTTTTATAATGAGTAAACTTTAAAACTACTGATGGGATGGTATGACATAGGTCCATATTTATTTGTATACCTTATTTAAGGTGGAAATGTAGTGATGCTAACAAAAATGTTATATAACTACCATTTAAACACTAACCTACATTTCACAAATAAAATTCTGAAAAAATTCTAATGATCTAAAAAATCTTTTACCTTTCGAATGCTACATTATCCCTGAAAGAAAGCAGCTATTTTCATAGCGGCAAAATAAAGTTCACCCGTAGAAACCCGGGGCGGACTCTCTAGTAGCTTATAAGACAGTTTAAGTTGCCTTAGAACGGAAACGCATAAAAAGAATAAACAACTAAAAGTCTATAAGCCTTAAAGCTTCATAAACGCCACCCTGGAGTGTGTTACATTTCCTTTAGATATTCCAGTTGGTTTTATATCTGAGTCTCGAATTTATCCTTGGGTTAAGACGGTATTCTGGCACATTGATCGTTAAATAGCTACGTGATTCGTTAGTTGGAGAATAATCAGCATTTTAGTTCTTGCGCACAAAATCCTGGGGTTGAATAAAGTGATTTTGCAGAATTTACTTTCAGTGTTTCTTTTGAGTCAACCTATCAAGGTACGGTCGCGGTCAGAAAATGTTTACCACCTTAAGGATCATAATTGCATGCACACATTTAGGTCACAAGTTCTAAATGTCTATTTCATAATAATTTGACCATAGATTATCTTTTTGCTTATCTTTGATTACGATTGCCACACAGTAAAAACTTTTCTTTTAGAATGCTGGCCACAAAAAAGTTTATTGAATTCGAATTTCGAATTGTTCATGAAAATAAAAATGTATGCTTTTTAGAATTTTACTCAATCTTAAATAAGGAGTGGACGCTAAAAAAAGACCGTGTTGCAGTTATTGCGTTGCATCGTTGCGGTTACGCGCCAACCCAAATTTTTGACATACTGAAAAATTTGAATATAACCAAAAGATTGGTTTATCGTACCATCAAACGATACAATGAAGACTCTAGTGTAGATGACATGTCAAGACAGGTCAAGAAGTGGTCGCCCTCGGTCTGTTAGGACTCCAGCAGTGATAAAAGCTGTGAAGGCGCGAATTCAAAGAAATCCCAAACGTTAGCAGAAACTGTTGGGCCTTCAGATGGGGTTAAGCAGAACCACGGTGAAAAGGGTGTTAAATGAAGACTTAGGGTTTCGGGCATATCGAAGAAAAACAGGACATCGTTTGAATGCTCGTCTAATGGACCTGAGACTGAAGAGATGCCGTGCTTTGTTGGAGCGGTACGCGGGAAAAAAATATAGGGAAAAACTTTTTTCGGATGAAAAAAATTTTACAGTAGAAGAGAGCTACAACAAACAAAATGATAAAGTGTACGCACACAGTAGTGAAGAAGATATCCAACTTTTCTAATAAGATTGGTGCCAAATGGTTGGCTTCAGGAAAGTCGAAGGAGCGTTTTTTAATTAAAAATAAGAATTGGCTGGATGAAGAAGACATACAGTTTACTGCGTGTTCTTTTGCGCCACAACCTTCGACATCAAGTGAGGCTGTGACTTCTGCAGGGAGACCACGCAAAGATTTTGAGGAATCGTCGTTCAAGACGAAGAAACCTCGCGTCATCGATCTTGTTGAATCTCGAAGTGCTAGTGAATTGGTGCCGAAATTGCTGTGCGTTCAACAGGCCAAAGGAAAATTGCCAATGTGATTAGAGACATTAGTGAGAGCCCAGAAAATATTATTAAGTCTAAAAATACCAGTTCCGTTAATCCTAGGCAGTTAAGTAGTGACGAAGCCTTAGCTTACTATATAGATTCTAAGTCAACAACGCATTCTTACAAACAAACTAGGAAGTGGTCTATGAAAGCAGGACATAATGTGTTTCCGTCATATTTTAGTTTAGTCCAAACAGGCCTGTTATCCTGCTGAGGAGCACATTGCTATAACAGAAACTCGTGCTGAAATAAATTTGCAAGCCTTATTAAACAAAACAGAGGAACGTCTAATTTTAGCACAGAATGAAGTTCCAGTAGTATCAGTAGCAGTGTCCTCCCAGCACGACTGGCCGCGCAGTTGAAGGCCTGTATTCAAAATCACGGAGGTCATTTTGAATAAACTTTATTGTCATAAGAATCTATGTTTAGTTAAGTTCATTTTGGAATATAAATGGTTACATAATGAATAAAATTGTTTCAATTATTTTATATTAAACATGTGACAGAATTTATGACCTGACTAGGTATATATACAGGGCGTCCCACGGCTACCTCACACGGAGGGAAAGTATATTAAATATTGAAGTTAGGATATTTTAGTGAAAGAAGACATCATTTTATTTTTAACAATAAATAAAACTGCATTCACAGATTTTAAAAAAATCGCCTGTTACAACTGGGAATCAAACTCGTGAAATTTCAAAAAGAAAATACAACATATTTTATGATAACCATCGCAAGGGTTAATCATAAAGATTAATTTTTGCTCAATAACATAGCATTTTAAACGAAAGAAAAGTAATTTAATTTAACATTTTATTATAATTATTGAACACAAACTAATATAAAATCGGATACGCCTCAAAGTAAGATGAAATGTTGAGTTCATCATCATTGACGTTTATCATCCGCTGCTGTGGTTCTGTAAGCGCATATCAAAACGTCATAAATTTCTTAAAGTATTCACTAATCTTTTAAACACATATCGAGAAGGTACGTACCTCTATCAGAGTATCATTCACGGTACCACCGCAAAGCTAATATGTCATTGTGGTACATTAAGTAAGCTTCCATTAAATCCATTTTATTTTGATACCCCATGGTAAGTTAATTAACAAAAAATTAGAAAAAACGATAATAAAACAAAAGAACAGACGCTTAAAAATTTATGTGTTCCATTTTTAAATTATTATTTTTACAAATTTCAGCCAATCGCATTGTAACTGAGTTCAAAAAGAAATGCATACGTACTACAGTTTGTGTATCACTTTATTATTTTCATCACGTAATAAGACATTCCTTTCATTTAAAATGCTATGTTATTTAGCAAAAAAGAATCCTTATGATTAACCCTTTCGATGGTTATCATAAAATATGTTGTGTTTATTTTTTCGAAATTTCATGAGTTTGATTCCCAGTTGTAGCAGGCGATTTTAAAAAAATCTGTGAATGAAGTTATAGTTACTATTAAAAATAAAACGA